CGGCAGAAAATGCGTGAACCACCGGTGATCCACATCGTCGTCAATGGGTTAAGCGATGATCTTGTATTTACTCTACTTGAAAGAACTTCAAGCTTTTTCCCCGATAATTTTTCTTTCACATAATGTGAGACCTGCCGTTGTGAATCAGCTGCATCCACACCCATATATCTACCTAATTCATATGATAAAGCCAATAACGCAAGTGTTCCTCGAGTTTTTAGGATTACATACTGCAAAAGCTGCAAACCCTATTTTTATCGAGCCTGTGGGCTTGATTTGTTCCCATGGGTGCAAGAAATATGTGATGTGATAAACGATGTTAACGGAGAATGCCTGCGTGGAATGCAGAGCAATTGCTCATTCATGGAGCTAGAACCAGAAGCTGTGATTTGTATTGTGTGATAACTCGTAAAAATGTTTGTCGCCATGAAATAAAGCAGATTTTTAGGGCATTTCGCGCAAATATCTGCATGGATGCCATAGTTTCCATCCATCCGTCTTGTTACAAACTTCTGTAAGTACTAAATTTTTCAGAACAACGACGCGCAATTAACACTGGAGGAATTCAAAGAAGGAGCGAAGGCAGATCCATCAATCGTCCATGCATTGTCCCTGTATGAAGGGTTGTCTTCTTGATGTATGATACTGAACATAATTAGATTGTTTGTTTCTCCACAATTTCTATCACAGCTATTTTTTGCAAGCACTATTTGTTCGGCTAGGAAACAATGATTCTGTCCACGATGAAAACCTATTGGAACATATATTTCGTTCATTCCATTTATCACAGAAAATTATTACTCTGAGGTCGGTCGAAATGACTACAAATTTATTCAAAGGCACTAAGCGTTACGTGGTTATTATATTTATGTTGGTAAATTGCTGAACTAGTAGCCGAAATAGATCTGTAATATTCAGCTTCCATTATCGCGTAATATAATATAATGAGAATCAAGCCTTACATTTGAAATTTTACCAGATAAACAGCTAAAGCTCAAAATACTTGTCTTACAGGAGAACAACACTAAACC